TTTTCTGTAACTTTGTGGAACTGTTAGGTCATCCAGTTATAGAAACCTAGTTAATACAGAAATAATGCTATTTACACTTACTGTTAGTCGATAATATATCGACTGCTGTTTGCGAGGGCCATTTGCCATTTTTGGGCGATTTTTAAATCAACTTTTTGAAAGAAATCTTATCTTTTTGGATTGAATAAATTGCCGTAACGTTAACTTCAGGTGATTTGTATTATCGAAGATTTTGCTGTTTAAAAAGTTTTCTAGTGAACGAAATAGACGGTGATCCAGTGGAATTGTTTAATTTCTTCTATTTTTGCTTTTCAAATCTAATCATTCAGCAATGTGGGTTGGATCAATAGAAAAGTGCTTCACATCTTTAAACACGCTACACAGATTTGGCAAATCTGTTCATTTCTACGGATTGTAAATTAAACCTAGGGTAAGTACACTTTTTCATTCTGATATGTGGGAACATTGAACCAAGATAAGAAGCGACATTACTTATGGGATAACGTAATATTAGGTAAATACAAATGAAATTTCATTTCTTCAACAACATTCGTAGCACAGTTGTTTGGATATTATTATCTGACGTGATGAATAATTGGGATATTTGAGTAATTTGTAAAAATTGAGTAACTTTTGAGGAAAACTGCAAAAAATATAAATTTAGCATTTGAAGAAGGTTGTGTAAATGTTGGGACGCTTCAACGTTGGAGTGTAAAATTCCAAATTGGCAACTTTTCATTGTAAATGAGCCAAGAAGAAGGCCAAATAGGGTTTGAAGGAGAATTATTAAAAAAAATCCGCTATTACCATTTCTTCAAACACGTGCAATTTTTTAAACAAACAATGTATTCCTAAATAAAAACACGAAAAGCAGCGTTCAAAGAATTTTTTCATTCAAAGACTAACGAATTTTATAAATTTAGAGTAATGAAACTAATCGTTAGGGCAAGTGTATAGAATCATATGGAAATTATTCTGATTAAGTACATTATTTCTTGTAAGAAACTAAATAATTTCTTTTTCTAATCTTAATAATTTTGTAACGACTGTTTGGATTTAGTTCACATTCGGTAAGTGTTCCTATATCATTTACACAGTTATGGACAAAAGCTTCGTAAGTGAATAATAACAAATTAACTATTCTTTAATTACGCTAAAACTGTTTTTATTTTGTTTCTTTAACGCAGCATCTGTTAAATATTTATTCAGTAAAGAAATTCTTACTAAGCTTGAATATGAGTTTAACAGATTTGAATGTAAAATTGTTCATCGAATATAAGATTAATTTATTTTCTAATCGTCAAAGTAGATGTTTTCTAGTTCCTTTGACATATAAATTTAGCAAAATCATTCTGTTATATGTTTCGTTAATTCGTTTATTTTGTTAGACTTTATCACTGGAACTGGCTTGTCATTTTCTTCGGATCCTTCTTGTTCCGGAAAACTACCGTGTAGAATGGTACACATTCCGCAATTTTTGCTAATATTACTAACATCACGTATGACTGATGTGCTTTCATGTTCCGAATCATTGTATATATTATGATTCTCAAATTATATGACAACACTTGCTGCTAGTGGTATTAAAACTGCCTGTAAAAGACACAAATGTGACATAACAATCGGCATTACTGTAATACATTTTACTCTGTATTTATGATTGCAATGATTAAATAAAGTATTTCAAATTTTTTCACATTCCTACAGAAAATCCCAGGTGAAATTCTCTTTACAATTAAAATAATTAAAATGTTATTTAGTAATTAGAATTTTACTAAACAATTACAGTATCATTTAATAAAACATTTTAAATAACTAAAATTAAATCAATTATTGTGGAATTCTTTCAGCAAAATTATAGTATAATTTAAAAAAATTTATATTCCATAATATTCAGTAAAATTATGTAAAATTAAAAAAAATTTACTTTCCACAATATTTAGTACAATTACATTCCTTCAATAAAACTATTTCCTATCGTGACATTTAACCATTGCCGCAGATTAAATTCAAACACATATTTCTCACCCTCAAGAGACTCTACTTTCAAAGATTAAAAACAGTCACGCGGTTGTTTTAATTTAAGAGAACTCCAAGATACAGCAACATGTTCGTTAAATACGAATCTCCCTCTCTTATCTCTCATACATGTGCATACAACCTCGTAGGCAATTTAAAACGTAGAAATATGTTATTCCTCGAAATTACGTTCAAAATGATTACTGGTTACATTCCCGTGTGCGCATACGATTAATCGAGTCGGTGATTATTCATAAATTCGCGATATCAAATGGCGTGCAAAAGTAGAATAAATCATCGGCTTAACATTACGACGAACATTATACGCGCGTTACGATCGTAATGAGAAATATAAACACGGGCGCAGTTTAAATACCGAAACAATTTCAAATAATACATAAGGCGTTGTACGTTTCGTTTGTTCGTTTTAGATTCATTTCTACGGTCTGTGTTTGAACAAGGGACGATGGTAAATGAAATTAAACTGTCTGGATACCGATATACCGTTGAAACATAACGTTCATGCTATCATTCGATATATGAAAACGTCTACCGGAGATGGGTTAATTAATTGCTGGCAATTTCAGAGGGTTGAAATTCGTCGAAACGAATTCGCGCGTATAGGCTCGATCGAAAAATGATCAATTGTAAGAAAAACGATACATTTTTAGCAGTTCGTCCTTTGAAAATGTTCGATATTGCTGTTGTTTGTTGAAATACTAAATCTGACAATTTGTAATTTTAACTCTGCAAATATTAGAGAATTTTAATACGCGCGTGTCTCTGTGACGTTTTCCTTCGATTTAACGTGAAATATTGAAACAGCGTGAGAGGAAGGTATATAGAAAAGATGAAACTTCGGTTTAACTGAATACGGGAGAAGTTGCAAAAAAGTTGCAGTACCTTGGAAACGAAATCGGAGAAATGTGAAATTTGCAAATATTTTTTGGGATATTGAAATGGAAAGATGATTAAAATTTGGTTAAATAAGGTCATGGTTTCCTTAGAGTAGCGCAAAAAAAATATGTGATTTCTAAATTTGTGCAACTTTAATTTCTAGGTGTTGCAATTTTTTGGCGAGCAGTGTTTTAGAATAAATACTGAAAAATCGTGAATTCTGAGTGAGTTAATGTACACGAACAATTGTTACTTCAACACCTAAAATTTTGCGGGGGAAAATTTTCAAAGTGACTCTACTCAAATGTAATAAATAACAATTGTACAAAAAGTATTAACTAAAATATTTGACTGTTCCTACTATAACAGAAATATACTTGCACCAATTTCAAAAATCACCAACGACAAGAATACGTGACAGCAATTAATCGTATCCCTACCTTTTACAGCAGAATTAATTGACAATAATCACTTCTCCATAACACAATTTATTGATACGGGATTTTTATTACTTGCAGAACAATTAAATGTTTCATGATTACTTCTATTTTCGACGCTCTAACGATTCATAGCTTTCTCTGACAGCAGGTACAATACGTCCGTGTGCAAGGTTAATATCCTAAAATTACCGCACGATCGTTTTTTCTTTCTTTCCTTTTTTTTTTTTTTTATTAAATCAATATATCGACCATTAATTACACTCGACTGTGTGTGCCCGCAGGTAATTGCAAACTTCAAGTGAAATTTATCTTTGATGTCATCCGAAAAGGATTATTGCACCCCTGTCAGGGTAAATACAAAATTGCGGTTAGTTCGGAATGCCGTTATGTCTGATTGCTTGATTGCCTCCATTGCCATGTAACTGTTTACGTATCCGCTGCGAAATATTTGCGCGCAAATTATTTCAACGAGTTATTGCTTATTAAACAATTCGGAACTGTAATGTGTCATTAATTTTTTCCTTCGATGTGCACGTGAAATAAGCGAGTCGACGAAACAGAAAGGAAAAGAACACTGTAGAATGATCCGGTTCAAAATGATCCCATTAACAACTTTCGAAAAAAAGTGAATATTCGGTACTTGTAAATATTATCGTTTGTAACTTCTCGATTGTATTTTCTGCATTTACGTGTGTACTTGTGTTTCTATTGATACGAATGTAATTTTTCAGCGACACTTTAATACATAATAAAAATTCACTCGGTCATTTTATCGAGTTTTTTAGAAATTTACACTGCCCGCCAAGAAAGTTGCGACACCTAGAAATTAGGGTTGCACAATCTGGAAATCACGTGTTTTTCGGGCTATTTTGAAGAAGCAACGACCCTTTTTATCCAAATTTTAATGATTCTCCCCTTACAATACTCCCAAAAATATATCAAATTTCAGATTTGTGCAATCTCGTTCTCGAAAATTAATTTTCAAATTAATTTTTAATCGCAGTCGCACGAACGCTAGCGTTGATATTGAAAGGCGAGCATATATGATCTAGCCGTTGACGGTAAATTACAGTTCAGGTAATTCGGTAAACGAGAATCATCGTGTTTCGTAATTCATGCTTGAAACGGGGAACTTCAGTGAATGGAGGGTTGTACAGGGAGGAAGAGGACCTTTAGCCGCGTATTCTCGTGTAAGATAGAACGCGAGAAATCGCGTATATCCGTGGAAGTCGTTTGATGAACTTCATTCTATAAAAGACTTGGCTTTTAATACGCCGCGCGACATTTCTACCGCGAAATATTCGTCAGAGGTACAAAGCATCCGCACCGAAATAGTCTCTGAACTAAAAGCT